TGCCCAGCACGAGCTGCCSTGAGCAGAGACTTCCTCAGACCCTGTCAAGCTGAAAATGATRCCAGAATTGCTGCAGAGAGGGAGTTTGAAGTGCAAGTTGTTGGGAGGATCAAGTGTTGACTTCCCAGAGGTGTGGARGATGCATTTAAGCGCTCTGCAAGCAATAATCCATGACAGATGCACTCACTCGTTACTGCCTTCTGCCTGARATCAGGACAGGGAAACAACACCACACAGTGGCTCTGACACTGAGAATTCCAAGGACTGGGCCTTGGAGTGAAAATGTCAAGCAACTCCTAAGATCAAAGACACATTTTGAAGGTGTTTACATTACCAGTGTTTAAGTTCCTGAGTTAATCAGAATAAAATGCATGAGGAAACAAAATCTGCTCCTTTCTGAAATTCAGGGGTTTATTCACATTTCCACCCTGCTCCCAACCTTATTTTTATGAGTATAAAAATATCCTGTCTGGGAAAAGAGCCTGTCTAGAGCAGTTCAGCAAATCTTCCTCCCCCTGACTGCTGTTCCACCCCAGGAGACCTCACAAGCAGTTCCATTTCAAGAGAGCACCTTGAAAACGTTTTGTAAAGCTCCCTGGGACAAGAACAACCATATTTCTACCCAGTGTCTCTCCACTGTGCTCCAAATTTCCAGAGGTTCATTAAACTAAAAGGACTTATTTGAATTTTATAATTGAAAATTGTTGTCTTAAAGACAAGTCCCAGCTGGGGTGATCTACAGCTTCCAGCACTATTTAACCTCCAAGTGTATATCTGATAATTCATATTTTAAAACCTCTCCTAAGTCTCACTGAAACCACTCTAAAAGTTGGGTCCTTATGAAACAAAGCCAGACAGAAGGGAAAAAAAATGAAACTCCAGAAAGTATTTCACAATTTAACTCTGTAACAACACACTGAACGTTTCCTCATTATTTTTATAGGTTCCTGTGGAATTCTGGATGTGAGGAAATGAATTATAAGGGAAAATATTCAGGAAAGAAAGTATTCCTTCACGAGGACAGTGAGGTGCTGGGAAGCAGGTAATCAAAAATTGTGCTGGCCACAATCAACAAGCGTGGGAAATGGAGTATTCTAAGAACTAATTGTAATAATTATAAATAATAAATTAAAAAAATAAGTGAAATCCTGAGGCCAGCACACTCCACCCTCACCAAGGGGAACACAAGGGACTCAGCTTGCAGAGAACTCCATCCCTCTTGTGCAAAGAAAGAACTCACTAAAAGGAACMGCAGCACCAAGTCTGTTCACAATCCTGTTAAGCACACAGAGCAAACAGAGCATTTTAAAACATTTTCCTCCTCTGCTTACATTCCATTAATCTTTCATGCCGTTTACACAGTTGGTTAGAGCATTTTCAACAGAAGCTGACGATCTTTTTATCATTGAGGACTCGCAGATGGGTACAGGAGAGCAAAAAGGCTGAGCAGCCTCCAGCCATCTAAATAAATACCAGCAGGGAATTCTTTATTTTACTAAATTAACCAACCTTTAATCAAATTTCCTCACACCAATACAAATTATTCCAGGAGAGAGATCAGCTGATTTCTGAAACAAAGACTGGACTGCAGTGGCTTCAACAGAGCTCCCCCTCCTTCAGATGGCTCCAACAGCAGCACAGGAAGAATTTCACAGAAAAAAACCCAAAGAAAAAGATTTTCTGTGCAGGAATAGGGATGGAGGCAGCAGACAGCTCCAGGAAATGCCAGTGACAGCTCCAGGAAATGCCAGTGACAGCTCCAGGCACAAGCACAGGGACTCAGCTCCCACTCTGGCCAGGGCTATCTCCCTGTCCAGAAAACCACTGGCACCAACTTTTACCTTCTTTTGGCAATTAACTTTAGATCCAAACATTAAATCAACTATTCCATGTAGCATCACATTTCCAGGAGGAAGTCAAAGCCCAAAGGATCAGTATTTTCAGATCAGCAGAGCAGAGGGTGGACACTGCTACTCAGCCCTGTCACTTGGGTAAATAAAGGATCAAGAGAATTTTGGGATCCACTGCCCACCCTGCACCATGAACCCTTCCTTCTATCACATCTGGAGGAACCAGAGACAATTTCATCATTCACTGAAGCTTTCAGCACCAGCACCAAGAGCTGTTGAAGGCAACACTTTTGAAAGAATTAAAACCACAATAATTTCCGAACAAAACCATTTCCCCTTCCTAGTTTTGCCAGGATTGGCTCAACTGCAGCTCTGCACAGGGCGCTGTCTAAAGCTAAAATCAGAGCTAGAAAATAAAGTACCTCGAGCTTTGAGCTTGGCACAGTCACACATCTTATCCTTTTCTACGTGGCTGTGCATTCACAAGCGCTCCTTTCCGCATTTTTAACTGCAACCAAGGGTCTGTATCACACTACAACCCAACACTTGCCAAATACCTCAACATTTTATACAAGTGCCTGGAGATCATTTCAAGGAAATTTATCGTTTACAACYACATTCTGCCATATACAATTTATTTTCAGGGAATTTCTCAAGTACTTTTCCCGTGTAGGAACTGCTACCTTTATAACCCTGGAAAACACCATTAGCAATAAAAGTGGTTTTAAGAGACCATTAGAGATCAGAATAACTCGAGTTTTATTCCTTGTAGCAGCTATTTCTCAAATGCAACAATGAGGGCAACAGCTCCACATCCGTGCTCCTCACTCTCCATCACAAACCGGGATCTCAGCTCTGTTGCTTCAGACACAAAGAAAAGACCAAATGCCAGGTCATTAGCAAAAATCCATTCAGCAAAGTTCACCTATAATGAAAATAATGGCCTAAAGCATTAAAGAAAAAGAATTCCACTTGTGAACACTAAAATATGTTCAAGGTTCTTTGCTTGCAATCTCAACTTCTGCAGAGATCTGTCGGGCGCGTTTGCTTCTGTGAAAGCTCAGCACAAAGATTTCACTGAGGTCTTAGGGAGTCACTGCTGAAGTTTGTTTTCCCCCAATTAAAGAAGCTATTAAAGGCCAGTTTTAAAAAATAGCAACCTTTAATTGGGAAGAAAAACGCCCAGCAATAAATAAAAGGCAGACACATTCACCAATTAAAAATCTAACAAGATCTCTCTCTCTCTCTCAAAAAAAAAAAAGCATTTGCTAAATGCCAGGTTGCTTGTTTCAGAAYACAAAAGCTGCTTCAACCAGTTACCAACAAAACAAAAGGTTAAGAAAAATCAATATCCAAACACGTGTTTGTCCTCTGAACGATACAATAAAATATTCCCCAAGCTGTCCTCCAGCAGATGAGCCAAATTTGCTCCGTTATCTGCCTGCTTTTTAAAAAGGCATTGCCAAAGCCCCKGGGATCAGCAGGAGATTTCTCCAACAAAAGCCTCTGGTCTCCTGTGACAGCATCTTGACCTCACAAAGTATTTTTTATTCAAGGAACTTGAGGGATCTTTCTCATCCACCAAAGAATTAGCAGGTTTTGGAAGTGGGTGTGCTGAGGAATGAGCACAAGTGCAGCAGMACAGGGATAGAAGCTGTAAAGCCCTGATATCCAAAATCCACTCCGGAAGTCACAATCCCAAGAGCTGTTTTCTTGTAGCAAATAATGGTCATTTCTTCTCAGCACTCTGAGGACAAGGACAAATTGAARATAGTCCCAATATCTGTAACGACACTGGGAGAAGAAGGAAAGCTCCCTGGAGCTGCAGCCAAAGTGGGGGTTTAACAGCAGACTTTGCAAACACTCATTAAGCTTCCCAGACACTCTTCACTTCCAAAAGATTTATTGCTCTGGACAATCCATCTATTTCTTCTTCGGGAGAAAAACAAGGGAAACTGCCCAGGAACTCAGCATGACCCCAGCACTGCTGGGGGTACAACCAAACCTTCCCAATTCTGGGATTTTCTGTCTCTTTTGGGATGGATCAGTCCTGTCCTGGGACAGCTTCACATCCCTCACTCCTGACAATGCTCATGGAAYRTTTTTCCAAATTAATYCATCCTCAAGGCTGCCTTTGTTCTCTATTCATGGCAACAACTGGAAAACCAAGGTGAATTCTGTGAGTACACAAATCCTCCTACAGGAAACAACTCCCAAAGAACAAATGTGTGCCCTGACACAACAGGAAAAAGCAACACTTGACAGGGATGGGGAAGAATCACAAGTGGGACACTCTTTCCTGTTGGGTTTTCCTTCAGCTCAGAGAWTTCTGTACTCAGAACTGCTGAAAAGCAACATCACTAAGAGTGTGACAATCCCCAAACCAAAGCCCCAGATCTTTTAAAATTCCATTTCTTTCTAGATTTCAGCGCTCCTATACAAGTTAAACTTTGTCAAGGATCTCACCCCAAACACTCCCTGGAAGTGAGACACTTTCTCCTGGGAAGTCCAGTCACATAACTACAAGAATCCCTAAATCTGGGATCAGAGCAAAGTAAATTATTCAGTCTCTTGAGACTGAGAGCCACTGAGCTCGAGTAAATATCAGAAATTATCCCTTCATTAATAAAATAATTTCTATGTACAGGAGGCTTTTCAGCTTCACACTTCAAAGCATTTCATAGATAATATGAAGAGATTTTGCAGACCTAAAAATGTTGGGTTTTGGAAAACATCACTGTTTTTGCTATAACCAAGTCAAACATCAATATGCAAAGAAGGTCCTTTGGTTTTTTTTTGTTTTTTTTTTTGTTTGTTTACAGCAGAAAAATGCAGTCCAAGTTTTGCTGCATTTCACAGACTGTTCCCTTTATGGACCTTTCACACAGCAACAAGGGAGAAATAAACAGCCCAAATAAACAGGGAAATGCAGGTGTAAAACCACAAGGATTGGCAGAACACTCTATTACACATAAATGTTTTGGAAATAAAGCCATCAAAAAAAGGAAACTCGGCCACATTTCAAACCAATAGCTCGCTGTTAAGATTTGTAATATTTTCTGTAGCTGAGTAAAATTACATTTAACCCAACCAAGTTTAAATTTGTCTGCAGTGGTATTTTACAACCATAGAAACCATTAAAAAATTCACCTGTTGCTTGCCAAGTTCATCCTCACCTGAGCTCCTACACAAAAATAACACACAGAGAAAAGTGATTTAAATTCCTTTTCACACCATTTGCTTTCTGTACTTGGCTAAGCCTAAGAAACATCAATATTATTACCACAACACTTTTTCCTTCCTTTGCAATCAGTTCTAGCCCCAGGTTTTCACGGTCTGGCTCAACCTGACGCTTCAAGCTCTGCAGAGAATCTCTACATCCAAACCAAGTCCTAATTAAATTCTGGAAGTTTAGTTATCAGGTTGTTCTAGTGAATAACTTCAATTTCATAAAGTCAATAACTCAATGTTGTGTCTAAACACTGGACCTAAACTAGCCAAGGTATCAGTGCCTGGAAGCCAAAGATTATSAGACAAACATTTCTTATTTGAAGAACAGAGCGCTGTGAGCTCACTCGTATTTTTAAAAATAAATTTAATTAGTCCAGATTTATTAAAACAGAGGTACAAAAGGAAGACTTTAAAATACTCCTAGAAATTACAGGAAACATGAAAAAAGGGATGATGACAACAGGAAATGCTGCAGCAACCAATGCATGGTTATTATTCTTCCCCAGACAGCAGCACCAGCTCCTTTTTTCCAGAACCAAAATCTCCCTCAAGTGCTGCAAGATTTTAAAGGCCAGAGTAATGAAAAAGAAYGGAATTATGTCCTAAATATTATCATTCAAAGAAAATATTTAAATCATTACACATCCTAGATACAGAACTATTGCTACWGTAACTTCTCCAAAATAACTGAATGACTGTAGTTTCTCTACAAGGCATTCAAACAGGATCCAAAATTTGGGAGCTCTTACAACTCCCAGTTTCCCACTGGTGCGACTGCAGCTGCCCACATCCACTGTGTAAGAACATTTAAAATGTGGAAGAACATTTAGAATGTGTAAAAACTTTTAAACCTTCGCTGTGGGCAATCAGCTGCCAGCACACTGGTTTGARGCAGCACAGCAAAGATTTACAAGCAGTTCAAAAGTACTGGGGGGAAACAGTGAATTCACATCCAAGTCCATCACAGAACCTCCAGCAGGGCAGAGTTCAGGAACGAGGGCAGAGAAAAATCAATGTTTAAAATACAGACACAACTCTTTCTTTTCAGTTCCTACAGGACAGACTTAGAAGCATCAGCAGCACTTTGCCCACTATGGAATTCCCAAATGGGATGGAGTCTGCACACCGGACTTCCTGGCTCTCCAGAATTCCAATCAGATGAATTCCACACAGTGTTCCTGTGATTGTGGATGGGGGTCACTCATGGACTTCACAGCAACAATATGACAGTGCCTTGCCCCTCATGAGTGGCATTACGGTGCCCCTACCTGCAGGGTTTATTCACAGAATCACTGAGGTTGGAAAAAAAATATCTCTGAGACCATCGAGTCCAACTTGTGACGGATCCCCACCTTATCACTCAAACCAGAGCACTGAGTGACACATCCTGTCTTTTCTTCAACACCTCCAGGATGAGGACACCCCCCCCCAATCCTGGGCAGCTCATTCAAGTGTTTGATGATCCTTTTTATGTAGGAATTGGTCCCAATATCCAATCTAAACCTCCACTGGTGTGGTGTAAGGCCTTTCCCTCTCCTCCTGTCCCTGTTCCCTGGGAGCAGAGCCCGACTCCCCTGGCTGTCCCCTCCTGTCAGGGAGTTGTGCAGAGCCACAAGGTCCCTCTGGAGCCTCCTTTGCTCCAGGCTGAGCCCTTTCCCAGCTCCCTCAGCTGCTCCCGGTGCTCCAGACCCTTCCCAGCTCCATTCACTTCCCTGGACACGTTCCAGCCCCTCCAGATCCTTCCTAAACTAAGGAACCCAGAACTGGACACAGCACTCAAGGTGATCCCTCACCAGTGCCCAGCACAGAGACACAATCACGTCCATAATCCTGCAGTCACACTATTCCTGCTAAAATCCAGGTGCCATTGGCATCTTGCCCACCTGAGCACACCTGGGGATGTCCAGTGACCGTCACCAGCACCCCCTCTTGCAGCCCCTCTGCTCCAGCCTGGAGCAAAACACGGGGAAATTGTGGCCAAAACGCAGGAAACAGCACTTAGCCTTGTTAAACCTCACTCCGTTGGTCTCAGCCCCTCGCTCCAGCCTGTGCAGGTCCCTCTGACCCCCGGGTGAAGTAAAGCACTGGGAGTAGGAGGAAGTGAACCGTGCAGCGCAGCAGGACAGCGGAACAGCCCTCAGGAGAAGATTTGCTCCATCTGTGCAGTCTCCCCACCGCTCCAGGGCCAGGAGRGACCCAAGCCTAGGGGCACCCAATGCCCAGGAAGGACCCCATCCTCCGGAGGCCCGACCCGGGCGGGCCTTCCCAGCACAGCAGGGCCCGYACCCGGCCCTGAGTCACCCTCARGGGCCCGGATAATGCGGAGCGGGGCCGCCCCTACCTGATAACCGAGATGAGCAGCCCCGAGGGGTCTTTGCTCCTGCCCACGGTGCCGCGGTACCTCCCCACCGCGTCGCCCGCCGCCATCTTGCACCCCCTCCAACACGGCGCACACACGCGTGCTGGCGCGCCGCAGCCAATCACAACCGAGCAAGGCGGGTTATCACCCAATAGGAGGCGAGAAGGGCGGGGCGCGAGGGTTCAAGGTGGTATGCAGCACCGCGGAGCCTTCTGGGAGTTGTAGTTTTTATGGCGGCGGCGATRCAGCCCCACCCACAAACCTTTGACAGGTGGTTAAAAATCAATGACACGTTAAAAATAACCAGCAGGTTAAAAAATTATCGAGCAGACAAGGTACACCTGCAAAGACATCTGTGCCAAAAAACCGTYATTCGCTCTGGGAGCGGCACGAAATGGGTTAGGGATGTTAGCGATCARTGTTCCCCCTCAGAACTCTCACGGAGCTGGGCTGGCTGAACAGTGAGAGGTTTAAGTATTTATGGAGTTAAAAGGGAAGATAAAATGCCTTAACGTGCTTAAGTTAATGTGTTCTATGAATTAGACATGCTAAATACTGGCAATGTGTCACAACCTGAGCGAGTTTGATCACAAATACACMGACAAGAGGACACCTCTCCAGTCACATCCTCTGAGAGCTTGTGTTAAAATCACCACACAAGACCCAAGTCTGTTGTTGCAAAAGTAAGAATTCCTAARGAAAGGCAGAAACAACCATCATTTRCATCGYTCGGAGGTGCTGGGTATTTCCTAACCCATGTTTGCTCCATCATGTCAAAGAGACTGCTCTTCCAGAGATGTTTTTTTCCACCCAAAGCTGCACCTTAATGATTTAATTGCATGGAAACTGCTGAAATCTGTCGGTAAGTCAAGAGTATCCATTTGTATGAGCTGTATTTGAAACACGAGRTGATTGGAAGCGTGGTAATTCCTTATTTACAAGGGGAAGAATTCCACTGTAGCTCTTGTATTTATTATAATCAACAGCTGCATCTCTGATCATTAACACAAGGGCAGGGTAAGAGCACAGGCACTTTAATTCTGAAATAAAATGCACTTTAAGCAATGTATTTTCAGAACAGACTAATTACTCCAAGTAAAGTAATTTTTATTTCCAGGTAGGGTATGCACTTCAGCGTGCTCCTGTGTTGATGTTCTGCTCCATTTCCCCCGTGCAGACGGGCTCTCAGCT